GCTAACATTTCTTCTATATTTGTCCTCAAGAAGAGGCTCTAGCGCATGCCATTGCATGGGACAGTATGCTAGGCTACAAGGTAAGATGTAGACTTGGGAAAATGATAATACAATCCAAGCACAATCCCACTCAATACCTGTCAGGAAATTTTTTAAGGAAAGAAGGATCGTAGTAAAACCAGGTGAAATTGATGAGTGAGGTTGTATTGATGAGTATTTTCTTTATCGATAACTGGATATGGCATAATATGCTATAATATCCTGTAGTTGAGTTTTTGAGCTTTCTGTATGAATATATAATATATTAATGTGTGTATGGAATTAAAATACTTGAGCATTTCTAAGTTTAAAGGGGCAGTAAAGTTAAGCACAAGAGCTGGCTACAAAACAGTTTTAACTGCAAATCTGCAGCAGCTCTAATGAACTACTGATTGTGTAGTTAGTTATAAGTGGTGGTTTGTTTATGTTATGAAATTGAGTCTCAAAGCAACTTCTAATCATGAGCAGTGGAGTTCCTTATTTCAGATTGGGTATGATGCTACAGGACGCTTTCTTAATTTGCAAACAAGTAAATTAAACAGGAAAAGAATAGTGCTTGTACATTTGCAATACAGGCTTAGTATTGGCGGTAGGAAAGGATGAGGACCGTGTAGTTGTTGCTCATTTTATTCTTATGCTTGTGAAAAGCATTGTTCACTGCCATGATGCATGGGATGATGGGTTGCTTGGTTAATGTTTCTTTAAACTTAGGTTTTGCAGGTGGGAAATTAGTTGGAATCGATGGCAGAACATGATAAATAAAGTGCATCTCATTAAAATAAACACACCATATGTAATTTTATATTGATCTGTGGTGCCGTGAGTCTTGCTCAGACCCTTTTAGCTGGAAGAAGATTCCTTGATAGTGAATCAAATTAATCTGCTGAACTTGCCAGTTTAATATAGTATGCTAAGAAAATCTCCGAAGAGGAACCAAAAAGCAGTTGAGTTGCTTAGTATTTGTGGCGGTAGATGAAATGTAGTCTGTTTCTCTTGTCTTCACAAATGAAGTGTAGTGTGTAAGTTCTGCTGTTAGCCAACTTTGTTTCTATGTGGCTGACTTGATGAGGTATTAAGAAGCGGTTCAAACAATGAACCTGTTCACGCAACTAGTTTCCTTCCATTTGCTGTAGTCGTTAACAAGAACTTTAAATGTATAAATAATGCGTGCCCTAAAGTCTAATTTTGATACAGCGATTACTTCCTTTTATACTCGCCCATTAAAAGCCCCCTCATGCTACCCCATGCAATGCATTACACTCACTCTTTAAAGGGTGTTTGTAACTGTTTTTTTAAATGTAATAACATGTTTTTCATCCGATTTTCTCTTGTAGCTTAGCTGAAAAGTTATTTTATAAAAGAATGTAATGCCTCTTAAGGAAATTTAAGGAAGTTTTTTCCCCCGTCAGAGTTGTTACCAGCTATGTCTAGAGGTGCAACAATACGAGTAATTTGTGCAACACTATGAAAGAAAATGTGAGTCTTTTAAGCATTTGTTTCTGTGCTCAAATCTGAGAGTGGCGCACTGTTGTACCGCAATCACAGCCTGTAACATGCACTTGTAAAGCCTCGGAAGAAAATTATTATAAATATAGATGATCTGGTGAAGCTGTTCCTAGCAGATGTCATGATTACTTAGAAACCTTTCAAAAATTAGATGCTGAAATTACATCAAATGCAAGTAAATATTGTAAATGGCATTTATGCTGCTCATTCAGAAATTTTAAAGCCCTATAAGAGTTGCAGGTTTTCCATGAGAATGTTTTGTTTCTACACAAATACCTGAACCTACTGCTTGTGACCTTAAATAGCTCCAAAGAAGGAAATACTTTTAGTCCACAAATAATTCATGAAGCTTTTTAATTCTACCTGTTTTCTTAAAAAAACCCAGAAACTGTAAAGTTTCAGTATTTTTGCCTTCCAAAATGAACTTCCGAAAAGCCTATAATGAGATAAATTCAGTGTCGTTTGTACTTCTCAAAGTCTTTTAGTAGTTTGTTGCAAGGTTTCTTTTTTGCCCTTGCTTTTCTTGAATAGGTACAAATACACTTCAGCAGAAGAGTCTTGAAAACCTCATGGGTGGCCAGAATGGATTTATAGTCAATGCTATTAAAGTTTTCAACAAGTCTCGTTTTTCAGTGATTATAATACAAGTATGTATGTGGAAACTTTTTTTAAAGAAGTTGAAACTGGTTTGATTACAATGCTTCTGGAATACTTGTTCTACTAGGTTTTGCTTTTGTTGATAGGTATTCAGACTAATGTAAAGTTTTTAGAGTTAGTTATGTTACTTACTCCAAGCAGATTATTTTTAAAATCATAGTTTATAGGACAGAGTCATTTGTCAAAATTCTCTTGACAATTGCCCTACAAATACTCGTTATTGCAAAGCAGCGTTTTGGTAGAATTGTACCAACTTTTTTGCTTTTAGTTAGCTTGTTTATTCCATGAGCATACTTGTGGTTAAATGATGTTGAAATGATATACAACTGGTAAAATCTCATTCCTAGTTGATACATATTACTGTTGTGTTCAAAATACTTAAAAAAAAAAAAAAGGTAAAAAATATACGTGATCACAGAATAGAATTGTAGAACTGTAAACTTGATAGGTAGGGCAACTGTAGTGGAGTAGATCAGGGTGGCAACAGTCAAGAGACATTTCTTAAAGTCTCATCTGAGCTTAACTTAATTATAGAAATTTCTAGTGTGTCTTCTGCCTTGGTGATGCGTAAGGTTCTTTGAAAGCATAGCTGAGAAACAAAAATAGAACTTTTTAATTGTCTGCTTTCTGGTCTGAGATTCTAGGTGGGTTCATTTCCTTTTTTAGGGGTGTGAGCAATTGCTGATATCTTACAACTATTGAATGTGCATGAGGCTTGGAAGTAAGTTAATTACAACTATGAACAGCTTTTACTTTTTAGAACAGTAAACTTTTGTCCTCAGTAAAAGAATAAATTCAGTCTGTGTTCTTGGCCAAGTTTATCTCCCTTTATGTATTTCCTGTTTCTTTGAAGGGTGCAAAGGTTCTCATATGTGTAATAGTCCTAGAGAACTAAATTATACTTAAAGTGCAGATGTCTTTATTTCTGGAAAAATAAGGTGATACATAATTGGTCTTTTTCTCTTCTTTTGCAATACCCTCTTCTAAGGACTTACTGAAGCAGTGGGAGACTTCTAGTATCTTAATTTCTTTTCTTCCATTTTGTTTTATAACAACTTAGGAAGAAAGATCTTCAAACAGTTTTTCTGTTTGTTTTGTTTTTCCCAATTTCTTCCATATTATTGAAACAAAGCTGAATAATCAAAGTACCAATGGGATTAAGCTACTGTGAAATAAATGGATTTTTTCCTGTAAAGAGCATTTATAAGTTTTTAGACTTACACTCTTCATTGTGGCCAAGTGTCCTTGGGTTTGTTCCCTGCTTTCCTCACCTTCCACCTCCTTAGTAGAAAATCTAAGATGATTACATGTGGGACATTCTAAATGCTTTGTCTAGGGATGTTTGCAGTATCTGTGGCTGATGATGCTTAAAACATGGTTCTGTTATATGAGGGTACCCGTCCCTGTGTCTGAGTGAGTTTGTAAATGTGCCTAGACACTTAGAAAAGCCTTATCAGATGACTTTTAGTTAATCAAAGATGGGAGGAAAAAAGATCCCCTTGATTAAAGTAGCAATCTAAGAGAACCAGCATCGAGGTACTTAAATCTTGCTTCACCCGCAACCCCCCCCCCCCCCCGTTTTTCTCTTATGTGCAGATTTGGTGTCTCGGGATATGTTAGGTGTTCTAATTCACCATGGTTTGTCAAAAGTTGAGAGACAATGTTGTTTGGCAGTCTCTGTAGCAAGAAAGGAAGCATCTTTTGTTATTGACATCCTTTCTCTTAGCTCTGCTCTTGCTTTTTGCCAGCTGCTCATTGTCTATACTTGCTTATTTAGTATTCACAAGGGATTTTACAAGTTCTTATCAGTTCGTTGCCACAGCACATCATTTCCTCTTGTCATCGTTACTCCTTAAATTGGTGGGGGGAGGATTTGCATTAGAGCTGGTGAGTGGTAGAAAACGCCACCATTCATGAGTGCTGCTTGAGTTGCACAGTGTTGTTCTGCTCCTCTCCTTTCTGAGGCAGTTTGTAGTAAAGGTCACATTTCTAGTACTTACTCCACCATGCCTTCCCCCCCCTCTTTTTCTGGGGAAAAGAAAACAGATTTTTTTTTTTTGCCAAAGGCTAAAAATACCCAGTGCTTCAAATATTCTCCTTAAAAGATATAAGGAAGTACAGCATAAAAATAGCCACAGCTGAAAAGGTTGACCACCTTTGAGTGGCTGGGGAAGGGTTGGTTTGGGGTTTTTATTGGGTTTTTCTTTTAATGATTTTTGTTTTTCTTTTGGTTATCTACATTTTCTTCCTTTTTTTTTTTTAATGCTCTTCAAGAAACATGGGGTATCTAATTAGTGCTCAAGAACAAGCAGATGCTTTAGTATTGTCTCCTTTTGGGAAATAAAGATCCATTTGAGAATGAGTACTTTAGTGCAGTACTGGCTGTGGAACTACTGGTTCCACCATGCTTCTTCCCTGTTCCTTCATAGGGAGTTTAAGTCTTCTGGTGAAGCACTGTGACAGACATATAATACCAATTTTAAAGCGTATTCCTCAAGCCTGTCTTCTGAAGGCAAGTCGTGGATTTAGGGAACGTTGTTAACAGAAACCATGCTGTCCCTTTGGTCTCTTAACTGTCCTTTTCCCCACTAATCAGTAATACAAGAATTGGGGACTCTGATCACATTTTACTTTATTTAGCTTTGGGGTGAGGTCCTAGTCCTTCTGGGATTTTGTTTTGAAACAGAATCAGGTGCAATGGCTGGGATTAAAACACAGACTCTTTTAATATCTACCTTTTTGTTTTACCACATTCTTGTTTACTAATTATTTGTTCACTTATCTTTTTAATAGAACTAAATTGGACAAATCGATCATTATTTTTGATGTGAAGACTTCATCACTGACATCTGTATGTTTGTTTGTCAACCTCCAAGAAATAATACAGGCCATCAGTGGCAATAACTGCTTTTGCTATACACTGACGTTACAAAAAAACCGCCAACAGACAAAACCCCACAAACCTTTTGAAGACTTGTGTCAAATGACGTCAATGGCCAGTTTGTTCTCCTTTACTAGCCCAGCTGTAAAGCGTCTATTGGGCTGGAAACAAGGAGATGAAGAGGAAAAATGGGCAGAAAAAGCTGTTGATGCTTTGGTAAAAAAGCTGAAAAAGAAAAAGGGTGCTATGGAAGAACTGGAGAAAGCCTTGAGCAGTCCAGGACAGCCCAGCAAGTGTGTTACTATCCCCCGCTCTTTAGATGGACGGCTTCAGGTTTCTCACAGAAAAGGCCTTCCACATGTGATTTACTGTCGTGTTTGGCGTTGGCCTGACCTACAAAGCCATCACGAGCTGAAGCCATTGGATATTTGTGAATTTCCTTTTGGGTCTAAACAGAAGGAAGTCTGCATCAATCCATACCACTATAAGAGGGTGGAGAGCCCAGGTATGTTTGAACATGGCTGTCTTAAAAACTGAACAAAATCTCCAGGAACCACTTACTGTTTGCTCTTTCCACCTCCTCCAGTACTGTATAACAAATTACATTTGGGGGAGTTTAGAAGAGGAATGTTCAAAGTGTGCTTTTCTGATGGGGTTTTGGGGAAGTGTGTTGTCTGTTCTGTAGTAGCTGTTTTTCTTTGTGGTAAATTGCACTTTTCCCACAGATATCTTAAGCCTGCTACCCTTAAAGTTAGTGGCCAAGTCCTAATTTCTAATAAAATGGAAAGCTGTGGTCAAAAGACTTCAGTTTCTTTGAGAAGCTTGTTTAAAAACCTTAGTCCTTGCAAGGAGGTTGGTAGCCTTCTTTCAGGAGCTTAATAGTTCATCAGTGAGTAACATGAATTGAAGAGATTAAAAAAAAAATAAAATTCTAGGACGTAGTGTTCCCCACTTGACTTGCAATTAGCAGACAGCAAAGCTGAACAGAACCAAGAGTGATGATCAGTTAGAGCAAGGTACGTACTGAATTTGTGTCAGGTAGCAAGTCTGCTGTTAAGGCATGTTGCCATGGGAGAAGGTGAGGAGGACTGTGGTTACAAGTGGAAGAGATGAAGTATGTTACTCTGGAACGTATAGTGAAAAGTTGCTTCTTTTGTTCCAGGTATAGTGAAAAGTTGCTTCTGTTGTTCCACAAAATGGTTGTAACTCTACTGCAACCAGCTGTAGTGCTCAAGTGCTCTACTGTAACACTGGAATGCTAGACTCCCAGCACTTGTGAATTCAAAAGTTAAAACTCCAGCTTAGCAGTAGTTGTATATTGTAGTATAGATTTTGTTTGTCTTCACTGAAAAGGACTGTATGTAACTATATAGCTTAACTATAGTAATATAGACTCTATTTCCAGCTTTTACTGATTTGATAATTATACACATGCAGTGAGTTTTGCACTTCTAAATCAATACTTTGGTGTGTGCCACATGTGGACTGTTGGTTTTTTTTTAGAAAGGTCTGCTGCTAGTTGCATGAAATATAAGTGTGTTTTTGCTCAGATTTTTGCGAGAGTGAAGTTTAAGTCTTCCATGAAGAATAATGTAAAAAAAACAAAGGGGAGAAGATGGGGTAGAGGCATGACAGATGAATCCCATACTGTTTCTGCCCCAGCTACTATTGAAATTTTCATGATGAGCAGAATAGCACATTATTGTATCTCTTTCCTTCTTTCTCAGTTTTTAATCTAAATTCATCTGGTTTTTGTTTGTTTTTTTCTTTTCAGTTCTACCTCCAGTTTTAGTGCCTAGACATAGTGAATTCAATCCACAGCACAGTCTACTAGTTCAGTTCAGGAACCTAAGCCACAATGAACCACATATGCCACACAACGCGACATTTCCAGATTCTTTCCAGCAACCCAACAGCACTCCATTTTCCATTTCGCCAAACAGTCCCTATCCACCTTCTCCAGCCAGCAGCACTTACCCAAGCTCCCCAGCTAGCTCCGGACCATCTAGTCCGTTTCAGCTACCTGGTAAGTACAGCCTAAATGTCAACTTAATGAAAATAATTGAAATGTCACATGCTGTTGTGACTTACTCCCTCAGGAATTTGTGATGCTTGCAATAAATTGCTTTTCCATTTGCGTTTTAGGGGGTTTTCTTCCTATTTTTGTCACTGGTCAGAGTTAATTGTAATAATTTTATTTTTCCAAATGTTTTTTTGTCACCGATACAATAGTGGTGAGTTATTTTGCACAGCTTCAACGTAGAACAACTGATACATACTTTAGAAGAATATCTAGCGATGAAAAGAAAGCAGATACAAGAGGCTGAGCAAGAAGCTTATTGATGTCTTTCTCTGAATAAAGACACATTTGGTATTTAACTGGAAACAAATAGCATATTTTTGGTAGAAACTTCACCAATTTGGGTGAAAACAGGGAAAAAACAACAATTAATAGGGGCAAAGGAAAGAAACCTTGTTGAGTCTATCTGGTTATTGGTGTGCTTTGTAAAGCCAAGAAGTTAATCGATTAAAGAATTTATTTTTCCGGTAGCTCAGTGGCCTCATCTTTGTGCTTTCTGACTGCACAGTGCTGCAAAAAGAGTTGCCCGTTGAGTGAGGTGTCCGTTTGGGATAAGTACTGTGATCACGGGGATGGATGCATTAACAGTGTCTGGAGGGAATTTCTGAAATAGGGGATGATAGTGTGTTGGTACACTGACTACTGTGCTGAACAGAAGAATGTAGAGATCCACACTTTTACAATGAACTCAGCCTACAGAAGCCTTCGTTATGCTGTGGCAAATAAAGTTATTTCTTCTACTACTTTTCGTTTTGAACACGGAGAAGAGGGTAGGCCAGAAAGCTAATGTTTGTGTGACGGAGTGGGAACTGTAGTCATCTTGCCCAGCTGCAGAAGTGCAGTTGTTAAAGAAAAAAAGGCAAAAAGAAAAAAAGCACCTCTCAGTTTTTCTCAAGAGTCCAATCTTGTTATTAGTCCCATAGGTAAGAATCCAACTGTTGAAGGAGTTTACAGTAAAGACAGCTGTCTGCGTTGTCTTCAGGTTACTTTGAAAATGGGTCCAAATGTTTTAACGTTTCTTGTTCAAGAGTGTTTTTGTGTGTTTACAACTGTAGAATGAATAAATAAATATTTGAAATTGTTGGGGTTTATTCTTATTCTTTTGTGTTTGTAGCTGATACTCCACCTCCTGCATATATGCCCCCTGATGATCAAATGGGGCAGGATAATTCTCAGTCTATGGACACAAGCAATACAATGATCCCTCAAATCATGCCAAATATATCTACCAGAGGTAAGTTGTATAGCATGGTGTAAAATTAACATAGTTTGGCTTCTTAGAACTAATGACCAAATCGACCTAACAACTTCAAATGGCGCAGTAAACCTTATTGGTAAATGAAGGCCATCTTGCAAGGCAAACTGGGGCTGTTACAGAAAGAATTGAGAAATAAAACTTGCCTTGCTTATTTGCATCTCTTGCTTTTAAAGCCTCAGGTGCATAGTACAGCTTTTAAGTTGAACTTTTTTCATTTCTCAGAACCAGTCTTTTCTGCTACCTTTGCCTCATGTTGGAATTGTAGATGCACAAAGCCTGTGAAAATGGAGTCCCAAAATACCAATTATAACAGATTTTTTAAGAGTAGACAGAAGAATCATGTTTCACCTGATACCACAGTCATATGTTCTTTTTTGTGTAGTTTTGTTTAATATCAAGCTTAAAATAGGAAAATGATTATAAAATCAGTAGAATAGCTAAAATACATGAAAATAAAAATCATTAAGATCTTAATCAGGACAGTTCTTACCCATCGTAACTGTTGACTAAGCTTTTAGTTATCTGTTGGTATTTTGGAAGGCCTGCTTTACAGTTTTAGATTTAATATTTTAACACTTGTGTGAACTGGTATTTCCATTTTGCTTATTTTCAGATGTTCAACCTGTTGCCTATGAAGAACCCAAACACTGGTGTTCAATTGTGTATTACGAATTAAATAATCGTGTTGGAGAGGCTTTTCATGCATCTTCTACAAGTGTCTTAGTAGATGGGTTTACAGATCCCTCCAATAATAAAAACAGGTTTTGCTTAGGTTTGCTCTCAAATGTTAATCGCAACTCAACAATCGAGAACACTAGACGACATATTGGAAAAGGTAAAGCTTAGTTGTGTTACACATGATTAAGAAGCTAAGTCCTTGTTTTTATATCAACTTCTGTATACTGCTTACTGCAACAATGATTATTCTCAGATAAGAGTAGTAGAAGTAATCTGTGATATATTGTCTACCCTCTCCAGTATCGGAAGACAACTTAGCTAGGCATGATTTGATTCTAAATAGTCTTGTTTAAATTGCATACATTTTTCTTTGGCACTAATTTAAAAGTTTAAATATTACCTCTTCCTTATCAAACTACATTGTCATAGGGGCTTGTTTGTAATGGTTAATGGTGGTCTGTATGTAAAATTTTGTGTTTCAGCACCAAGAAACATATTGCAGGACTTCCGATATTCTATGTTATATCTACTTCTTAAATCAGAGTCTTCATACCACTTTACAGTATAGCAAAGTTGGTTTTTGTTTTATTTTGTTGCTCATGCAAGGTATTACGCTGCTGTCTACAGTATGTTCAAATATCTTGCATGAGTTGGCAGCAGGACTTTGAAGTGCTAATGCAAAACTGCAAGGGCTCATTTGTCTGAGTGAGTCCATGGGGTGTGTATGTGTGTGGGAGGGATTCCTGGAGACAGCAGGTTTTGCAAGATCTTCTAGTTTTCCCGTACTGTTTGGCTGATAGCACATACAGATGCACGGTTTTCACCTTTGGTGGAATGTGCTTGGATTATCTTAAAATGTTGTACTCCTTTTCTATCTCCTTTTTTGTAACTAAGTCCTGGGAAGACAGCCCTGTTTCTGTTGTGCCTATCTAGAGGCCTTTTCAACACCTAAGCTCAGTTGGTACAGTTGGTCTTGAGTTTTGTTTGATAAAAGTCACTGTTGCTTGTAATGTATCTTGGAGACCCATCCTGTTGCTTAAGTCTTTTAATTAGAACCTACTTTAAACATGGCAAAATTTTGCAGATAATCCAGAGGCCATGAGTTGTATTCATATCTGTTGGAAACTTGGGTCTGCAATGCTGTTGTGCAAGAAAATGTAATGTTTTAAAGGGGAACAGCTGATTTCTGGGACATGGCTGGGTTTGTCAGGTTCTTTTGTTTGACTTACCTCTTTTTGATGGTACCAGCAGAGAAATCTTGTGTGTCTCCCTAAAGTCAGAAATGTAACAGAAATCCAACATAATGTTGTATAATACTGTTGGCTCCGGTGAGCTTTAAGATGTCTACATCTCTAATGCTAATTATTAAACTAAAACTTTGCTTTATGGTGAGAGTTCTGAGAACAACTAAGATTTTGGGGGAATATACTATTTATTTATGCCTTTTGTTTGCAATGTCTTGGGTTTTTGTGTCCTTAAAAAATGTAACAGAAATCCAACATAATGTTGTATAATACTGTTGGCTCCGGTGAGCTTTAAGATGTCTACATCTCTAATGCTAATTATTAAACTAAAACTTTGCTTTATGGTGAGAGTTCTGAGAACAATTAAGATTTTGGGGGAATATAATACTATTTATTTATGCCTTTTGTTTGCAGTGTCTTGGGTTTTTGTCTCCTTAAAACTACCCAATCCTATTTTCTAAGCTTTTTTCTGCAGAAGCATTGCCTTGCAAGCATAAGTGGCTTCTAATTGTGCATTGGATTATTTTTGAAATACCTGTGTTCTTCTCAGACAGTTAACATTACCCAGCTCCCCTCATCAGAGATCTCTCAGAAGGTCTTTACCCAAAAGAAGTTGGCTAGCAAGTGGTGGTCTCTCTCTTTTTAATTAAATAGGGTTGTGTTGTGAAAATGCATTCTTGCCCAACCCAGATTTTCTGACAGCTGCTTATAGTTGTCGAAGCCAACAGTTCCTCTGTGTAACCTTCATCCTACCTTAGTCCCAAGTGGATCTAGTAATGTTCACAACAGTTGCTGCTGTCTGAAAGATTAACTTGCATCTGTTGACTTGCGGCAGCCTCATCTGGCAAACTACCGGACAGTGTGCAGTGGATTCTCAGGGTATTGCAAGGAAGACTTAAACTGAACTGTATCCCAAACGTATAACAGTGGTGGGTGGGAAAAAGGGGGAAGATCTGGGAGAAGGAAGGTGAGTATGTCAGCTGCAGTAGCAGAGAGAATCTGTGTTTGGATGCTGAAAGGATCAGTGGCTTTTATATATTAATTTTTAGTCAGTAATAGTGTTCTATAGACTTAAAACTTAAAGGGAGGGAAGCATTTATGTACATAGCTGAATCCAGGTGGATGTGACAAATCTAGGGGCTTTGCTGATTTTAAGATCTGTAAAACCTGATGGTATTAAAGTTGTGCAACTAATTGAGCTTCTTTTGCTTGGTAAAATACCCTGAAAATCAGAGCAGACTGTGAATATACTTTCTCATTCATGTCTGTTGCGGTCCCTTCTCCCAGGAAACTTTTATTTCTGTTGAAATGCCATAGGCAGAAGCTACCAGTTTTATAAAACCGGAGTTTCTCTAGGAAAATAGCTTGAAATCAAGCTGTTGACATGTGGAAATCGTTTTTTCATTCTATTCTGTAACTGATGAGAGAAGGACATCTAGTGGCTGATGTGTGACGAAGCCTAGTGTATTTTGAAATGAGAAAGTATGTTACGATGTGGGTCAAAGAGCTTTTCTGAAAAGCTCTTCAAACAGAAAATTTACTTTATTGTCTCTGGTTTCGAGGGAGTTGTAGTAAGTACTATATTTTTGGAAAAAAGTAATTTGAAACGTTTTTATCTTTGTTTTCAAGGAGTTCATCTCTACTATGTTGGTGGGGAAGTCTATGCTGAGTGTTTAAGTGATAGCAGCATATTCGTACAGAGCAGGAACTGCAACTACCACCATGGCTTTCATCCAACAACTGTATGCAAGATTCCTAGTGGATGCAGTCTGAAAATTTTTAACAATCAGGAGTTCGCTCAGCTTTTAGCTCAGTCTGTCAACCATGGATTTGAAGCAGTATATGAGCTCACCAAAATGTGCACCATTCGAATGAGTTTTGTAAAGGTAAACAAATTATTTTGAGGGCATTTAAATTTATTGTGGATTTGGGTATTCAGCAGTAATTGCATTAGCACTGTAACAGTGTAGCAAAGCTATTCTGACCTGATATGGTTCTTTTCAGTGATAAGTATGTTGAAAATGGTTAATTTGGGGAGATTTGGGGAGAATTGATGCAAGAAAGGAAAAACGGAGATTGCTGCATTGAGTGTTGGCCATGTATTTAGTTCTTCAATATTCAGGACAGGGATTTAATCGTTGTCATTGCTAGAATTTTATTAAAGGAGATTTGAGCTCATGCTCTAAATTTGAAGGAACAAAGTGAACTGTAAGACCACTAAAAGAATGTGACTAGAGAGAAGCGTGAGTGATTGAAGAAAAAATTGCAACTCATTCAAAGAGATTAATATTTTTTTTAAAATTGATTATGGAAAAAAGACACGATTTGAATTTGTGAAGTCAACACTACTGTGAGAATAACAGTGCAGTTTTTCTCAAAATTGTTTAATCAAGATGCTGTCCACTTCAGATTTAGCATGGAGTCTAAACTTGGGCCTTCCAGGGTTTTTTTGCATCTTGTCCAAAAGATGTCTTGTTTATTTTGTCAATTACGATTAAGTACTGCTCAGTTTGAGGGTGTGGAGGATAGGGAGCAGGAGGGGGAAACAGAAAAGAGATGTAACCATAGCCGGGAGTCATTCTTGGGTCAGCAGTGTGCTCCACAGAGGAGCTGGTGTAGTCACTCCAGGTCTGTAGCAGACTAGACTTGATTCAGGCTTCCAGGTGCAGGTTCCTTCCCAGCTTCAGTTTTATTTCCTTTAGATAAGAAGTGTTGCTAGATTGTGAGTTACCTTAAGATAAGTATCATAGAACATGATGTCCTACTTCTTGTTAGTACAGTTATTTTGAAAGACAAGCATGTCCTCAACTTGATTGATAACATTTTGTTCATTTTTATAGGGCTGGGGAGCTGAGTATCACCGACAAGATGTCACAAGCACCCCATGCTGGATAGAAATTCATCTTCATGGGCCCCTCCAATGGCTGGATAAAGTACTTACACAAATGGGTTCTCCTCTTAATCCCATCTCATCTGTTTCCTAGTACTGAAATTCTATCTTCAGCCTTATTTTTAGCGAACTTATTCTAATTCTAGAGAAACTTCCAGTGTGGATACTGTGAGCTATATGGAGAATGGATCTTACAGTTTAACTTTTTTTTTTAAATCCCTTTGTGACCAATTCCATTGTGTATAGCTAATCAGTTTTACATTTCAATTTGTTCTTGTGATGCTTAAGTGACAGTTGAGCCCTAAGGGAAAAAAAGTCTATTGAAAAATTCAGAACACTTTTCCCCTCCTTCCCCTATAACTTAAACAGGCATATGTCTTAACTGGAAACTTTTCTTTTTGTCCTGTAGGGACAAGAGTTATGAAGACTGACTTCAGAAAATAAATACATATCATAGTTTGGGAATTTTTTTTTAATGTTTATGAAACTGTTTGAACATGTGCAGCTCCAGCTTGCCAGCTGTATTTTTCGCATAGCTGTTTAACATCTTAAGGTTGACATCTGTCATAAGCAAAATTAGACTTTATTATGGCTAATTTGCCTCAGATTGAACAATGTGATTTTTTTAAGTGTACACATGAAATATACTTTTTACAAATATTGGAGTGGTGTAAAAACACTTGTATTGTCTGTTGGAAAATGCTGTCATAAACACACTGTATATTAATGCAGAATAGCAGTTCTTAGCCTTTTCCCACTTCAGTTTTGTAATATCTCTTTTAACCACCATTTTAAATAGTAATTGATACAAGGTAAATGTCTTGCACATTTCTGGAGTAGTAATTCTTGTTTTGCTTTGATTTACACTCATACTGTTTGGATTTGGTTGCCAAGGCTATTTCTTTTTAGGTACCCTTCTCTATTTTAACATAAACACTACTATTTGTAAATGGCAGTGCTTACTACTTTTTGGAAGGAATAAGTTTTTTGTTTTCTTTTTGGTGTTCTAGCTGTTTATTTTACCTGTCTGGAATTGATCTGTGTTAGGCCTTTTTAATCTCTCGGTAGACATTACGCAGTATTAGTGATTACACTGTGTTTAATTCACTTTCAGTATGAGTTTGAGTCTCTTTGAAGACTATGAGTGGCTTAGCAAATTAGTAACTGAATGCAGAAGCTTTTACTTCCAAATCATGTAATTTAATACAGACCTGTTGGTAATGACCAAAAGTAATCACTTCTTTGTAGCCTACATGGAACAGTGGTCTTGATCCTGTCCCTGATGACAGGTGTTCGTTCAGAAGACTCATAACTGTAGTTGGCAACTTTATGGGATTGAAGGACTGCGTTAATATGATGGTGAAATTTCTCTCTTATGTAAGGAATCCTGTTGCCTGTACTGTTGTGTTACTTAGTAGAGAATTTAAACACTGTACTAAACACTAAAAGAAGTGAGTTAAGTAACATATGCATATTTTCCCCTTTAAATAATAAAAAATGGAGGCTGAAAGAAATACTCTGGGAGAATTAGAAGTGAATTATATACAAAATTTCTTTGCACGCAGAAAAAGACCTGTTGTCTTTTTTAACTTCTCGCCCTCCTTTTTCTCTTTCCTGAACACTTCTTCAGAAAAGGGTTCAGTGTTCAGGGGAGAGGCTGAAAACTCTAAAATGCAAATACTTATTAAAAGATGTGTTGCAGTTAATTACTGCAATCCTGAGACATTGATTGCTTACACAAGTTCTTGTGTCTTTTGTGGAATGACAGTTTCTGCTCAACTGTGGAAATCATGCGTCATATGGTACCTAAGTAACAAATGATCTTAAAGGAATGAAATTGTTTACGTGTCATTAAAATGTTTCTTATGAAATGCCTTAAAGGAATAAACTCTAACACTTCTGCAGAACCCTAATGTTCTCTTGTACAGGAATTTCTATATTGGTGTTTTGTTTTGTTTTGGGGTTTCTTAAAGCAGTTTCTCAAGTGTGTTTAAAATCAAACAAGTACATCTTCAGGAGAGAGGGAATAACATTATTTGCCGCTCACCTTTGGGGTCTTCTCTTTCATTCTGTGGAACTACAACCCGCAGATGGTTCTTTTGATCGAATAAGATGCAAAGTCAGTTGGCCACAGGTTCAGGCTTCTATTTTCTTCTCCCCAAGCCTGACTTTTGTCAAGTTGCTGAATATGTGTATTTGACACTACAGGATTTATTTTTTTTTTTCTTGACAAGCTTTTACAGTAAATGTCATGGCATACTGGATTAAGGAAAGATCGGAGTTGTAGGTACAAGATTTTACTTTATTCAAAATGTTTTTCATCTGGCTTCATCTCTGTTCACTTGTATGCTTAGAAGTGGCCGATTAAATGACTTGAGAATGGGTGCTAAAGTGGGTGTTCATGAGCCAGAGCTGGTGCTTAGTGCTAGTATTGTGGTTAAGTTGGCTACCCGTGCACTCAGCCGTAATTTCTACAATAATATCCAGTTAACTCACTTCTGATACTGTCACTAAGTACTAAATTACTCTGGCGTTTTTCTGCTTGTGTACGTATTCTTGAACTGTGATATATGCAGTGCTGGACATGTCTTTGTGACTGCTGATTTTGCCAGGGTAGGCTTGCAGGAGCAGACCCAGTAAGTCTTTGTCTATGTTCTACTTTTCTGTTCCTTCTAAGTAGGACTTTTTGAGAGCTTTTTGAGCAAGTTTTGTGTGCTACTGGTTTATGGTGTTCCTAATCATGTTTCATCTGTGCTGCTGATAACACAATTCAGATATCAGTGCACAGATGGACTGGATGGAGAACTGTTTGACCCTAATGTTTTAAGAGTAGCGATAGCAGAGAGTGCTGCTTCTGTTGCAGCATACTTGTGTATAGGTCACTTCTTAATCTAGATGGAGGGATGGAGAAATTGAATCAACTGGTAGAGTGGTAGTGGAAGATGGAGCCTTTCTAGTGTAGCTCAGCTTAGACTGAATGTTACTCTTCAGTGAAAACTGTTTTGGCTTTTGTAGTGTATTTTCTTCTTTTTGGGCCTCTTTACTTTGCACCAACCACAGCATTAACTAACAGCTTTGGCAATACCAGCAAAGAGCCTAGGACAGGCATATACTGAAGTTCTTTCTGGGTTTGCTTTTATAGTCACTAAGATAATATAGTAGCTTGGATATTCCTCCTTAGAGGGCTTCAGTCTCGCTGGCAGTCAATCCAGTGCCTTGAGTAAGTATTACGTTCATTTAATTGCATTGGACGTGAAGTAGTTGTACATGAGGGGATGACATTGGGTTATAGTATCTGCAGGACCAAAATAAAACTTTATAGTATGACTGACTGATGAGAGACAAATCTAACAGAACAGGCCCTTAGTAAAAAGAATGATGAAACAGCCCATGTGTTACGATTCGGTGTAGAATTGTTTAAAATACTGGAATTCTTTTGGGTTTTGCTTGAAGCTATGATTTTATTTTTTTTCTCCCACGGTATTACAATGTGAAAGTTGTCAATCCTTGGGCAGATACTCTTGCAGTGTAAGTGTAGAGAACATTAAAATGTGTCAGGCTTTCTCCCTAGTTTTAAATAATATTTTTTGGGGGGATATTAGTTGCCCAACGTGTTGCTCGTGATGGTTTTTAGGAAAAATGAACAAAAACCAAACCAAAACATTCTCTAAATGTTTTGCTTCAAGAGAAAAACAACTAGCTAACTTTTTTTTTGTAGGTGTGGAGTTTCTGTTTAGGAAGGTATCCCATTCTGAATTCAAATCGATAGACCAAACCATCAGATTACAACATAATGTTGCTTTATTGTGCTGCTCCATAAACCTGCTTCTGTGTTTGTTGCAAGCATAACCTTTATGCTTTTGTTTACATTGTAGGAAACACAGTTCTAGCAATGAGTTTTTTCATTTAACTCTAAACATCTTTTTATTTTGTTAATTTTAAAATTATTAGGTTTTGCTATGTTATGTTTTTAAAGATATTTTTTGCATACTGCTGCTCATATTTCAATAAACAAAACAAAAAAACCCACAGATTTTTCTGATTTCCTTTATCTGTAATTCAGTATGTCTCAAATACTTGTTTACAAGGGATGATTTATGACTTGTCATAACTCTCACTGCTGATGCCTTACCATGTACATATTCCTCCTCATGCAAATATGATCTTGTAATTTTAAAAACCGTTTTCTATACGTTTTTGGTAATGCAAAAGTGCATTCAGAAGCAGAGACTAAATTATTTCATTAACTTAAGAGTTCTTTTTTCTTGTAGAATGTAGCCAACCAAAACAGTATCAGTTTGTTGGTATTTATAAAAATATTTAAATCAGTAGTACAAAATATGTATCTGTGAGACTTCGACAACACTGATTATTGTGTTGGGGGGATGGTTGGTTGGTTGGTGAGTATCAGTTTGTTGGTATTTATAAAAATATTTAAATCAGTAGTACAAAACGTGTATCTGTGAGACTTCGACAACACTCATTATTGTGTTGGGGGGATGGTTGGTTGGTGGGTTTTGTGTGTTTTTTTTTTTTACCATTGTGGCTGTAAGGTTTTTAAACAACTGTTGTCATGTCTGAATGTGTAGAGCTTTAAACTGATGGCTGATAGCCTTTTCATTGAAATGAAGGCTGTTTGAATATCTCTTGAAACTCAAGTACTGTTCCAATAAAATGGAAATTTAGGAGAAGTTTAGTGAGATCTTTTACTGTCTATTAGCCTTATTTTTTAAGATTGAAGGGAAGAAAACTTTTCTCTTTGTTACTAAGATACTACAGAAATAGAGGTTGAAATAGTAATTGGTGGTGTGCACAAATTAAAAGAAAGCTTTTTTTTGGCAGGATGAGTACAAAAATACTGAATCCCAATTCCACAGGTATATCCGTATGAGAACTGCAGAAAGGACAAGTTATTTGTTTAGTATCAAACTGAAAGTAAAGTGTTGATACTGCTTGATCTTGTCTATGCTTCCTGCTTTGGGATTTAATTTGGCTAGCGGGCTGACACCTTGCAGTAATACTCTGTGAAGTTCTCTCATCTACTCAATGATAATAGCTTTTTTTCTTTGAATATGCAACTGCACTGGACTAAGGCGGATCCAGTCACTCAGTAATTTTTTTTTTGTAACTCCTGATACTGTTTTGATGCTTTTGCTTCCAAGACAATGATTGCCATGTAAAGTTCCCAGAAGATTTACCGTGATAGTATTACCTAGATGATACAGTCTAATTTGTGAGTGAGTAACATCTCAAATTAAGTGTTGCAGTGTCATCTTGGCTTTCCAGAAACTTTATGTGGACTTGTATTAATAGCTTTCTATAGAAGTAAAAAACAAAGGAAAAAGAAATCTTGGTTATTAAAAGTTTTAAATCATTATTTTATAGAATTGAAAGTTTTTGTTAATCTTACTAGCCTTTCTCCCTGGGGAATTTAGGGGTATAGTAACAGTTCATAATAATTACATCTCTGTGAGTAGCTAGCCGAGTAACCTGTGAAATTGTTCATTTATGGTGGTTTGTTTATTTTTCTAGAGGGGAAAAAATCTTTGGGCAAAACACACCTCTTCCACCCCTA